AATTGGCGCATCAAATAGATAGTCGAGCCGATTCTTCTTCCGTTCTCGCGACGATCGCCCCGATCTCATTTTGAGGCGAAATTGTTCGGCCCGAGCCAGGCTACCGTGCAATTCCCTCGCTAATCACCGCGGTGTAACGAGCCAAGAATCTACTATATCGTGGCCCGGCTAACTCGTAACCACATTGCTACTCATTATTTCCCGCTGGCTCTCGAGTAAATCGCAGGCCGCCTCGATTTGCTGACACATCGCGATATCTGTCTTAAATCAGCGGAGATCAATAAACTTCAGATAACGTTTCAATCCTCCGCAGCTCTGTAATTACTTTTGTCCCCAAAAATACCGTATTTTATAATTGTTGTTAAAAATATGATAAAATTAAAAACACAAATAAGATAATAATTACATGCTATAGTTTCGTTTCACTCGTTTTACTCTTGTAATATGAATAAAGAGCCGAGAGTGAAAAGAAATATAAATTACCAGTTCTCGACGATGATATTTAATCAAAGAGTTCATCTATTATTCATCAGCGGAATTGAGTCAATTCAATTATCTTTTAAACTCATTAGACGGAGCATTTCCACAGTCGATAGCTGCAACGTTATTTATGCAGTAAAATAATACAGCATCAATTACTTAATAGCGCAAACAATCGATTACGAAATTTTCAGTATTGTGAGACTCTGACGTAATACGAATAAATATACATTATGTACACTGTCCTCCAGCTAGCTATACTTGCCCGTTTTATGTACAGCAGTAATATAACACGCTCTTGTATATATATCGACATCCTTGCACTCTGATATTCTTTTGAGCGCGCGTATATATACGTTGGTTCAATGACCATCCCGATCAAAGATTGAAAATGACACAAGCAACCAGCCTTTTCTCTCCGAGATAAGGTTTCAGGTCGAATAGAGCACTCCGACTGATTGCTGTTAAGACCAGAAATAGAGCGAGACAATAAGGAGCCCGTGGAAAAGTTGAAATTCGCGGGAGCGAGGTTTTAGAAAAGAAACTAGCGAGGACAGTCACCGAGAAATGTGTTTTTGGCAGCAACACGAGCGCATTGGCATCGAAATACCTGTCGAAAAGAGAAAACGACTCGGCTGGCGGTCAAAAATTTGTTTTTAAAATAAAGCACCGAAAATGATATTCATACAATGCCAAAAATCTGCGACTTTAATTCTACAGTTTGTTTTATTCATTGCTTATAAAATTGATTTTTCAAACTGTGTTTGGATATTAATATTTAGCGAACAATTAAAAATTCAGAGTTTCTCAGCTGTATTTTATTTAATTATTAATATTTAAATTGAAACAGACTTTTTCTCTTTTCAGAATTTTAATTCAAGATATTCATCATAATTGTCAAAATATTTATAACTTCGAATGTGATATCGCCGTTGGCGTCAAGACATTCATTATCGAATGCTATGTATAAAATCATGAATTTATGTGATTAAAATCAGAGATCGTTGGACGTTTCGTAACTCTAATTGCAAGCCACGCACAAAGAAGAGAAAAATTGCACGGAATCGAACGCGGCGGTTATTTCTCGCACATTTCGACAAGCGGTACGCTTTTCGTTGACTTTTCACGAGTCACCCCGCTATCAAGCATTCCGTGTAGATATTCCATCGCATGCATTATTTTTTGCCGGCGGGAAACTAGAGAACTCTGGAGAGGCGGCGGGCGGAAGAGAGCGACTGTTCCCAACGGGATACCCGACCTGTCTCTACGCGCGCGATCCTTCGTCTCGAATGTTGCTCCATATCGATTGACCTTTTCTGAATACGGTCGCGCCTCAGAAATGTCAGGGTGCTATCGCCATCCGCGGCTATGAACTTTCGGCCATACATCTGTTACGTCTATTGAAGTCATCGCACCGCACGGCGCAGTCGTTTGTAGCAGGTAGACGGGATGGAATTTTCCTAGAAATTGGTTCCATGCCCTTTATCTCGGCCGCCGCCGCTAATCGAATGCAACTGCTAGTCAAACAGTAATATAATCGATAATGGAACAGTGCATGGCACCGCGATATATTGCGGTCGCGGACGCGAAATAAAAGCGTGCGTTTTAGGCGGAGCGCAATTTAATAATAGCCAATCGTATTCGGCCGATTTTAGATTCCATTCATTCCTACGAAAATTGCTTTTACTGAATAGCCCCCGGTTTATTAAATCGCAGATAGTTATGATTATTAGCGGAGAAATGGATTGATAAAAATCTATTGCTTCCGAGCGTGCAATTCCCGTTCGAAGAACGCCTCGCTATCGACGGCGCTCCGAATTATTACGCTGACATTTCAAGTCGATTATTTATTTTAATTAAAGTCAGATGAAGAGAGAAAGATATATATATATATAATCCCGAATTATTATACGTAAAGAGAAATTAAATTAAGCTTCGCGACTCGATTGTGACGTGCATTGAATATCTTCGTGTTGTATCGGCAAATTTGCTGACATTCCAGAGAATTTACGGGGGTCGCGAGCTGCCAATGAAATTAACGCTAGACTAGCGCGGCTCGTAATTCATATTGCGTAATTTATATTGCGTAACTAAACAAACGCCTACGCGCGTATAAGAATAATATTAAAAAACTTATACGTAGACTGCAAAATATTAAATCCTATCAGCCAGTTGTGACCCATCAGCGTAAATCCGCTTAACCGGTGACCTTTGTGATTGTTTTACAATACTGTAATTATTGCAGACTTAACACATATTTTTCTCTCGTGAAAAAAAATTGCTCCGTCATCCTTGCGACTTTAAAATAGTATGCATGTCAATTTGTTTTCAAATTGGTTATAAAAGCTCTATTATTTCTTTCCAATTAAAAAATTCCAAATGTATATAATTTGATTCGAATTTTAATATCTCAAAAGTGTACATAAACAAAACGTTAATAAATAGCAATGTAATTTCGAAGCGCGATCTCTCGGTTAAACTAATTTATTAAAACTGTTGCGCTTGGTTTACACGAGCTATCATTTCTTCACAAGCAATTCTGTGCAAAGTTTAAAAACTTCCTCTCTCTCTCTCTCTCTCTCTCTCTCTTTAGGCATACGTATACTACCTACTTCGCAGATACTGAGAATAGCACAACAATAACCCCATCGAGTATGATGGAGACACGCACGCGAGAAAGAGATTGCGACACTCGTAAAGTATCCCTCGCGAAAGGAGATTATTATCTTATACCCGCGTCCCGTGGTTGCATCGTGGAATCGTATAATCGATCACTTCTTACGAGCTTTACCGCGACGGTGGTTACCGAGACGGTGATGTCGGCAGCAGCCGTAACCTTGCTAAATTATTGAACGACCATGCTAGACGCCGTCCACGCCGTAGTCGGGCGAAATGAACAATTTCGCAGGATATACATTTCCGGCTCGCAGTAAAATCGACGCAAAAAGCCGTCGTATCGACGGGTCCAGATTCGTCGATGACAGACTGGAAAATATATACAAAGCACGGCGGATATGGTAATGAAAAAACAATAACGGAGAAAGAAAAGATGAGTAAGAGTTGTTTTCTTAAATTCCCTTTTAAGTGAATTCAGCCGGTACAGCCGGAAATATGATTACAATTTTAGAATAACCTTTTAATTGGCGAAAAGCAATAAATTCAGTCGCTTTCGTCCGTTTGAATATCAAAGATAACAAGATGGAAATATCAGATTGCGAGTGAAACCTTTCCGATTTCAGAACAATGGTACGGCCGAGTTAAAACGTAATATCGTTGAAAATTAAGGCGCGTTAGAGAAGAGAGGTTCATTGAATTGGCCGGCGGATGATTGAGGGAGCCGGTGCTTAAGTAAATTGAGATTTTCCGATTTTACATGCGCGCATCGAGCAAGTAGTATGTATCGTACATAGTAGCTGCTGCCCGGTATAACGGCAGGGAGCGAATGGACGTCGAAAAGAGGCATCAATTTAAAAGCCGTGACTCACTGGGACACGATAACGTAGTTAGCGCGCCGCTGTCCTGTCGCCTCTCTAAAAAAATGAGACGGAAAAGGTTGATGGCGCCGGGAAAAAGGGGGAGAGAAAGAGATAGAGATGGTAATCCGGTAACACCTCTCTTAAGCGACTAATCGAGGCCAGTGCATATGCATGGGAAGGGAGGAGGAAGAGAGAGAGAGAGAGAGAGAGGGAGAAGATTCTCGAGTGGTCGACGAGCCACGAGTATTATGCCCGGTATTCGTGTACGTTACTCGTGGCGTGCGGCGATGAAGGGGTTGCGATGAAGGCGGGCATGGAGAGAGCAAAGGGCGCATGCATACATCGTGCATAATAAACCCTTTCTTCATTACCATCGCGGGGGCCTTTCCGCGGCAGCCGCGAGAAGAAAGCTTCCACGCGCCGACGATTTACGATTGACAAGAAGCGAGGAAGAGGAAAAAAAAAAAGAGACACGAGACGCCGGGATTGCGGAGAAACCGGGGCGGAAACGAGCACGCGAGGGAGAGAAATCGCGAGGGAAACAGCGATATCGCTCCCTCGCCCCCCCCCCCCTCCGGCGGCGATTCCCCTCGTCCGCGCCGAGTGTGCCCATCGAAGCAGCGTCCCCTCGCCCCAATTACCGTGCCCAGCGCGCACCGCCTCCCGTTTCGCGGCTCGTAATTTGCATCCGACCTCTATTTCCTCGCGGCGATGCGAGAGGCTGCGTGGAGCTTCTTGTCGCCCGGACGACGCCGTCCGCGGGAGAAGCGCGCGAGCGGTTCTGAAACCAACGGCCGAGGCGATCTCCTCCCGAAGAACGTGCGAGCGAATCAAACCGCGCGAAATTTCTTTCAGGCGAATGGAGTGTCGAAAAAGGCCGCGGATGATTCATGCCGCGCCGTGTACGAATACTCGCGAGAGATGATTCATCGAGAGGGAAAAATCTCGCCTACGCGTACGAGGGGGTGGAAAGAAGCGGGTGAGACATGCGTGTGACAAGCCGGGGGAAGCGGAAGAGGATACTTGAACGCGGTTATTACTTACCAGGCACGAGGTCATCGACGAGGGGATGAGCGACGAGCTGATTCCAGGATTGACGGCTGACGAACATCCCTCCGGATGTTCTGGCCTTCCTTCCCTCCCGCTCTTTTCCGTCCCCTTTAGCACTCGGGACTTCCGGCAACGTTCCGCGAAACCCGGGCGATCCTCCTCCCGTCGCCGTCGCCGCGCCGGCAACACCCACTTTCTCCCCTGGCCTCGTAACCTCGAGGGCCACTTTCCTTCCCTCTCGCCGCCGATCGCAGGGGCGCAGCGCTATTCCGGACAGCAGCACCGCCGCTACCCGCCGTCGTCGTCGTCGTCGTCGCCGCTGCCTTCGTCGCCGCCGTCGCTATCACCACAATCACTTCCACCGTCAACCACCGCCGCCGCCGCCGTCGCCGTCGTCGCCGCCGCCGCTGCCGCCGTCGTCGTCGTCGCTGCCACAGTCACAACAAGCAACTACGGCAGTAGTAGCAGACGCTCGGCGTACTACTGTCAGACAGTTTGCACCCCCTGCGACTGTCACGTGAGCTCTCTCTGGTACCGCTCTCTTTTTCTCGCCCTTTCTCACTCTCTCTCTCTCTTTCTCTCCTCTGCTTCCGCCCTACTATCCCTCTCTTTCGGGCGCGAGCTATCGACTCAACCCCGCTGACAATTAATCGCAGCTCGTAGAGTCAGATCTCGCGGTATGCGTGCGTATGATCGTCGACAGAGATCGTCGCGTTCTCGCGCGTCCTCACATCGCGATGCCGTCGTGTGTCGTGCGCGCAAGAACGAACGAATGAGTATGCGGAAGAAACGGAGGAAGAAACGGCGCTCGTTCCGCCGCGGCCGTTGCAGTGGCCGGTGTGGCTGCGCGGCACCCTCGCTACTTCGCCAGCCAGCCAGCCAGCCAAAACCAGCCTCCCTCCACTGCCCTCTGCTGCCCTGCCTTCTCTCCACCCCGCCGACTCGTTACTGACTATCCTAGGAAGAGCGTACGCGTGACCGTGGCATGCGCGTGTCCCGGCATGCGCCCTCGGCACGCGCGGCCCGCGCGAGGCACACGGGCCGCGAGCACTCTTGGCGCCATCTGGGCTCGCGCACGCACACTTCGACCGGCGCGGCCGAGCGCGGCCGGTTAGGCAGAACAGTGTCATGGCGCGACAACAATGACAGACAGTGTTTTCCTCACCGACGAATCCAGCACGAAAGCCAGTATGTGGGGCGGATTTCGCTGTAATAAGATTTTCGCGGTATTGTTCCTGCTAAATGTAATCGCATTCCAAAGTCTCTTATGTGAGTGTTCGTCATTTAAAGTGTTATTCTCATCTGTATCATCGCACCTCGTAACATCTTGGTGTTGTCGGTATGCATGCGATGCGTCACGCGTGTGACAGCATGAATGAATCGAAGGCGCATGTCAACATGCGGACGCGATTTCGGCGTGCGATTCGAAAGTGTTTGGACTGACATGGCTTTTTCCTCGTTTTATCTAAAAACATAAATTTTGATTTTTTTCCAAGGAATAAATGAGAGGCTGAACAGCCGTTGCTAGATGGTCGTGCTAGTGTATTCAAAGGCAAATAGTAAAAACGTTTCGATCTGTCATCAGGCCTTCTTCAAGGCCGTAAAGAAATATTACATTATAAATTAAAACGCTTTTTCGGACAAATAAATAAATTGACAATTTATCTATTGACACATAAGTTCAAGTTTTCTGCTTTTAATCGTTGACGAGCTGTTTAGCTTCTTATATATATATATATATATATATATATATATATATATATATATATATATATTTATTCCTTTGAATTTATTTCATTATTTATATTTTCTTTAATATATTTTTAATTAAAAATTTTTTGATTTTTTTCTCGTGTAAAATAAATTAATTAAGCTTTGTAAAAATCAGGCAAACTTTTTCGTATCTCAAATTAGTATATATTTGATGTAAGCTTGTCAAAACTTGAAAAACAAAAAGCAAGTCATCGTAAATTATGCATTGTCAGTATACATTATCAGTAAAAAAGCAATTTATAATTTCTAGATAAAAATTTATTTAGACATTATAAATAGCTTTTTTACTGATAATGTATACTGACATTGCATAATTTATGACTTCCTCTTTGTTTTTCAAATTATCCATAAATTATAAATTGCTTATTTCGAAATAATCATACCACTTTGTCATTTATATTGTATACTTTATCTTACAATTAGCTTACTAATTATCATTGAGTTTCTTTGCGCTTATGGGTCTATATTGTCATACCTCATCGCAGATTTACAGAAAATATACACACCTAATCATAAACAAATATTGAAAATTTGCATGATTTTAATCATTTAATTCTTTACGCAGATTATCAAGAACAGAAGAAATGGCAGGAAATAAGGGCCGAGTTGGAGCCGGTGATAACAGATCTGCGGGACTTGCAGGGCCTGACGCACAGCTTGTTGAGGAGGCTGGAGGCACACGGCCTCTTCATCGAGAACATCCATGGACTATCCAATGATAATCGGCCCATGATCTACGCGATCACGCCTACGTTCACCAGGCCCGTGCAGAAGGCCGAACTCACCCGGTTAGCGCAGACGTTTCTCCACGTGCCGAACTTCCATTGGATTCTCGTGGAAGACGCGGCGCAAAAGACTCCCCTGGTCACTCGCTTCCTGGAAACCAGCGGTCTGATCTATACTCATTTATTCGCGACAACTCCGCCGAACTACAAACTCGGCAGGAACGACCCGAACTGGAAAAAACCGCGTGGAGTCGAACAACGTAACGCGGCGCTAAGATGGCTCAGAGAGAATCTCAAGCTGTCCAATAAAGGCGTCGTATATTTTGCTGATGATGACAATACTTATTCTCTTAAGCTCTTCCACGAGGTAAGCCGGTTTGGTTCAGAAACTAGTAATTTCTTTAAATAGATTCACGGTCGATGCAACAGCGTTGAGCGCATCGTTTGCATAGCAATATTCCCGTCTCCCGTTTTTTCCTTGATCTAAGAAATTTAATTCAGAATAATTCATATTATTGTTTAACTCTCAATTTTCTTATTTTTTAATATAATTATGACTGAAAAATTTGCTTTGAAAATTTAGAAAAATTAATCTGCGATCTAATATTTAAATTTATAATTATTAATCACTTATTTATATTAAGATCTAATAAATGGTTATTGCTTTTAGATGGAGAAAATACAAAAGGTCGGTGTATGGCCAGTCGGTCTGGTCGGCGGTCTAATGGTAGAGAAACCTCTTTGTGATAACACTACTAATAAGGTAATCGGTTTCAACGCCGCATGGAAACCAGATCGGCCGTTTCCACTTGACATGGCAGGCTTTGCCATCAATCTCGAGTTGTTGCTCAAAAACAAAGATGCGTGGTTCTCGTATGACGTGCAAGGCGGTTATCAGGAGAGTGAAATACTCAGACAGATAGTCACGAGGGATGAGTTGGAGCCACTGGCGGACCATTGTACGAAGGTACCGACAATACCACTTGATATTTCATCGATTATCTCTTGAAAGGTTCATAAAACTTTGTATCTTGCGTGTATTTTAGGTGTACGTGTGGCATACGCGAACGGAACCGCCGCTATTAAATGTCGAACAAACATTAATAAGAAAAGGCAAACGTTCCAATGCCGGTATCGAGGTGTAAAAACACTATTTTATGCTCATCTCCGTTGTGTGAAACACAGCCTCTAATTCCATGAGAACAATGATCTAGATATTATTACGAGATATTATTAATATATATTAAGCTTGTTAACGTCGATCTGGAATAGGCATAGAAAAGATAAAATTAAATCGCGTAAATATCGTCATGGGTCCCACATATGCATATATACATATCTAGAATAATTAGATCCATCCTGTATAATCACTTATAGCAGCTGATATGGTAGCACAGACGAAACATTACAGAATGATTCTAGATTGTATCTAAATTTCGAAAAATTGTGATATTACGACGTAGTTTTGGTATTGCTCTACCAATTTGCACGCCGCTGCCACGAGATTATAGCGTGATGAGTCAACGACTTTTCGCCATTGGCGAAACTGCTGGTGCAAGCAATCTCGTTATATTATATTATATTCTAATGTTCATATCGTTTTATAAAAATGTATCTATTAACATTGTAATAAAATTTTTAAAGAAAAAAAAAGTACGGATCACACTACATCAACCTGTTGACCTTGAAAACGTTTTTCACTTTTTATTCGAGAGCACGATTTCTCGTCGCGTACAGAAAAAGCATACATAAAAAATACGCCTTACATCTACGGAACTTTAATAATACTCTTAATAATTTCCAGACTGGAAGATGCGCGGGTAATACTCTTCGTGGAAAGCTACTTGTTAGGGATTACGGCTTTTGGCAACGGATACAAAATAGCTAGATATGCTAAAAACGGTGATGCGTCTCGCTCGCCGATGCGAAGTGCCGCGTGGCAATTTTTGTCACGCGAGTGTCCTGCGATTCATTTATTTTTTCCATATACATATATGTCATTTTGGTGTATAATATATATATTTATATGTACTCGTTAACTTATGTACTAATAAGTACTATGGTATTTGGCAAATCCTCTGTCTTATGTAAAAAAGCTACCTGCACGGAAAGCATGTTCGCGAACACGGGAGAGGATACTAACTTTGAATGTATCAACAGGTGCAAATGAAACAGCCTTATAGAACCATTTCCTGTTGCTGGATTTCGACTTTTATCACCGCTTTAAAGTTCTTTATGGAAATATTTCACCACTTTAGAAGACCAAGAACAGTCTTAGAATTGTTTTTAGTAATATTATATATAAATTACATATAAAAGAAATTATATCAAAGTATATATTAATTTTATATATATATTATATATTATATATTATATATAAATTTTTCTGGTTTTACAAAATTACTTAAATTACATTCGAAATTAGCTAATATTGATAAAATCCTCCATTAGAAGTTGCAGTAGACAATATAAAATCTTGAAGTGAAAAAATTCTTAAACTCAGTAAAGTTTTTAGGATTATTGCACTTGATTATACAATAACCTGAAACACACTGTTCTTTATCTAATCCCTCATTCACATTAGCTTTCCGCGAGAACATGCCTTCCGTACTCGCGCATGTTTTCCTAAACTTACCAAGAGTCCTAAGATTTATCTTCAATACTTCTTACAGTTAAAGGGAAAACGTTTAAAAGCATTTACAAAAACTTATCACATTTTAACTGCGTTTCTTTTTGCAAAAGCCATCTTAAACATTAGAATAAAAGTGGTACGTTTTCTTTTTACTTGCTATTCGGATATATTAATTATATGGCAGCTTTTCCGATGTCACACTCTTATGGATTGCTAACCGAAAATTCGACTGGCAAGCTTCGTGTATTTGCAAGACTGCAATATTTGTCACAGTAAATGTCATCTGTTTTTGATTACATTATACATACATATTCAGAGAGACTTTTTAACGCATTAAGATTTATCAGAAGTCTTATAATTTGCATATCGATTGGTCTTTCTCGTTTGTCCTTACGAGCCTTTCGGATATTTCATGTCATGACTCAACAATCGCAGCTGCATAAACATAATCATGCTGACTTCTGCAATCTCAATACAAATACAGTGTCGCAAGAACTGCCCAAACCTTCATCATTCCTTTATCATATCAATTTTATCTAATTTATTAATTAATCGTTATTAATAAAAACGTTTTTATTCATAAAAATTAAGAAATATGAATTTTTAAAATAAAAAAGACAGAAAAAGGGCAAAAGTTAAGGGAACAAAGGGCGGTTCTTAAATACATCGCATTGACGTTATGTATAATAATCATAAAAACACATATTATCACGAAAAATAATTGAGAGCTTTTCTCACTGGAAATAAAAAATATAAATATACAGACATAGTTAAACATACGGAGAGCGAACAAACTCGCTGTACGGATACACGAGATGTACGTAATAATTCGCTCATAACTATAGTGAACACACACATGATCGTAAGACCTAACAAAGAACACGCATGCATATCGACTGAATGCGAGAGGAAGTTCGATATTTAATTTGAGCTGTTTGAACAACAATTGATTACAATTCCCATTAATTTGATGTATAGGTGTTAGTTTATCAGTCTTTGAATTGGAAAAGAAAAAGAGAGAAAATTAAATGTGTGTTACGATCACGCAGGAAATATTCAGGAATAAAAGCGCGTTGAAGATGTATCGTGTATGCGAAAGCTATCCTACCGCTTGTATATCCCGACCGAGTCGTCCCTAATCGAAAGACGTGGAGAAGAATGAGGTATGAGTGAGAGAATAGAGATAATAGATTGTTCAAGGTATATGTACAGTCCGAAGGTTGCTGCGAATTGCTCGCGCACCTCGTTTAGAAAAAGGGAAGATTTTCCTTGTTGCCGCTTGAGGGATATAAAAGCGCAACATACATTCTTCAATCGAAAATGGAAACTCCTTTATCTCAGTCAGAGATTTCACCAAGCTGCCTCAATTCTGATTTGTGAGTATTAAAGAAATGAACCAGCCGTTAACTTATCGACTAAATCTAACTAAACCTAACAACTAAGAGTAAACATAATTATGACAATGTTAGACATTTATAGACACAAAGCAGAATTGGATTTTGAAGAAACATCGTATTCTTTTTGTGACGCGGACGTTATCTTAAGGAAGAGATTGGTGAAATCGACCATAAATCTTATTGTCCATTTTCACTCTTCAATAAAACTTCATCTTTTCATCACCTCTGACTTATTTATATATGTATCCCATCAAATTTCTTGTATCACTGGAGAAATTTCACTGCATCTTTTCTTATTTATTTTAGTGATGAAAAAATAAAACTTTCTATCGCAATATTTTGAAGAATATAAATGTTGCACATTTTTACGTTATCATGCCCCCTTAAATATTCTTTCAGAACAGACGTTGTTGTTTTTTTGTTTTTTTTTTTGTTCTTGAGCGCAACAAAGTACGACTTTCCGCGCGGTCTTCGTGAAACCGTGCACGACAAAAGAACACGATACTACCCAGCGTACTAGACTGTGATAATCTAAAGGGTGCCTCGAAGCGTTCATCACTAAATCGATCGATCGACCTCTACCAATTTCGCGACGAATTTTTTTGTACATTCCTCTTGCCATCTTCTTCTTCTTCTACTTCCTCTTCTCGCGCGAGCGATTTACCCACTCCTCGTTTCCTTGCGCCTAAGCTACAATTTATATCCATAACTTCCTCCTAAGAACAACGACTACCAAATAGACTTTACTCACTTCGCACTTTTCTCGTTCTCACAAGTAATCGATTATCTATGCTCCTTCGCATGCGTTGGCGAGAGTACACTGATGTAAGGAAATTGAAACTACATTTACATCGAAGAGAGGAAAACCTTTCAAACGTGATTCTTCATGTCATCTTCAAATAATCTTTGTCAATGGTTTGATAAAATATTTTCAATCAAATTGCTTCTTGTTTAGAAAAAAAATTTGCTAAATGCGTTTCAGTTGAAGAAGATAATATCAGGTTTCCAAGGTTTAATCCCTCTTTACGTGGCTAGCCTTACCTTACGCGTGAAATCAGACGTGAGAATCTTGCAGCAAAGTAATCGGCGAAGGACAAGTTTGCCAATAACGGGGGAAGCGCTTTCAAGGGATCCACAAGGAAGTGTAGGAACAGGCGGCGTATCGCAGTACACGAGGTAAGAGGCTTCGAAAGGAAAGGAGAGGCGGCGGGTCAGGTGCGACCGTGAAACTGCGCACGTTTGAGGGCAAAACGAAAAGCAGAGCTCGGCGGAGATTCGGTGCTTGAATGGCGAGAAAGCAGCTGCGAGGGGCTTCGTCCGCGAAACTTCCGACGAGGCGGGCTGCTAAAACCCCCGGTCTTTCCGCAAGCAAGGGGTTCGCAAACGATGATCCGCTCTGCGCGATTTTCTTTTCGCTTCTTGTTTTCCTTCTTTTTTTTTTTCGAGAACACTTTAGCCGGAAACTGCAATGATGAGTTCCCGGAAACGATTTACAATCTAGTACGCCGGAAGAATATCTAGACGGCCGAGTCCTTGCCGACGAAGCCGGTCTTGGAGACGGATCTCTTGCCGTCGAAGGTGACGGAGGTCTCCCGACGGAGTCCGGAGTCGATAATCGGCGTGATTTTCTTCTCCTCCTTCAGCGGCTCCTTTTCATCTCTGCAAATCATCAAAGTCGACATTTGTCTTACGGCTGTAATCCCCGATATCGCTCTATATACTTCTAATACCGGGCAAAAAAAAAAAAGAAGGGAAAAAGAGAGCATGTCCATATGCGGCGCGTGGTGCGACATCGAATATACACGTCAGGCATGCTGTCACTCGCAAAATATAAAATATAACGTCGTAGTGAGAGGCTCTGGGGAAATAATGCGTTTCTTTTCAATTTTCGATAAATCCCAAGAAATCCGCGATTATTATGGTTCGCCGGGAGTTTCGTTGCTATTTCAGGGAAACGCATTCAGTCTTCCGGCTGCACATGTACAAAATACACAGCGGAGGAAAGAAGCATTCACGAGTAAATTTTTCTCTATTGTTGATGAATAGTTTGAATTACAAATATTCGAGCAATTATCATGCACTATTTACATCTTTTTTTTTTCAGTTCCAATATCACCTCACTTTATTAATCAATTAAACAAAAAAAATTTCTTTCGTGTATTTTGTACATGAATCGCGCGTTTTTGAAAAAAACACAAAATTTAAATAATTGAGCAAAATTCGTGATAAAGTTTGGAAGTAGTAAAAAATGCAAGACCGTTGAGCGAAATAGTGGTATTGTATCGCGTTTCCCCTCATTTACGAAGACGCGTCGTATCTGTTTTCGCCATTATTTGCTAAGTGGGGAAGGTCGAGAAAGGTTCATATTTCTCGGATCTACGTCTTGTTTTCCACACACGATAAATGCTATATATAAAACGGATTTTCTTTCTTTGCCCAACTTACACCACTATATCGCTCGAGGTGTTGCGAGTCGTTATTGCGACTCGAGTATTTACTCGCACTGCTATTTGCGCTTCGTAAAGCACAAAACCGGCAGGTCGGGGATAAAGTTCGCATACTTATTGCAGCATCGTGCGGTGACGGAACGGACTAGAGAGAGAGAGAGAGAGAGAAAAGATGAA